TCATGCTGATGTTTAGCAGGTGACACACAAGTATTTCATTTAAAAAAAATGGCACGGTGATGTTGCTAGAACAAAGGTTTTTGCAATTCATCCTTCAGGGTATCTGTATACTTTATAGTAATTCATCCAATGGTTGTCAATAAATTTCATTCAAAATCACAAATGTCAGTCTCACTGTGGCACTAACAGAAACGTGAGAGAAGCACCAAAATCAGTAGACTGAATCTAGAGATTCCTCTAGAGGCCATGGATGTCAAAATGTTATTGCAGTACACTACCAGGCAAAGGTTTAGTTGCACTTTCACTCTGAACTGAATGGGAAAGTGTGGCCAAACATTTTAACTGGTAGTGTGTATCTAATAGTCATTAAGGTGTTTCGCACCAAATTGATGGACCGACCAACGTTGCCGTGCCGCTAGCACTGTACTAAAATCCACATAGCTCTGAGAGAACACCAGGGAACAGAGAAATTGTGCTGTGCAGTGGTATAGAGCATTCAAAGCAGAGCACAATTTGTCACTGGAGATGGAGGCTGTAGCAGCTGAGGACAAGGCCAAGCTTTGGTAAAAGCTGCCTCACTGTCTAGTGAGTCCACCTGTGTCTCACAAAAGAGAGTGTCTTAATAATAGGCAAGCAAAATCTGAAAAAATGGAGAAAAAGAGGCTGAGGTAAGACATTTATTCTCTGACATTAGTCATGTGAGATGTAGTGGGTAGAGGGACCAGCTTTTATGATCATTGCTTGTGTCAAAGCTGTAACCCTGAGCCATAGCATAACCTACAGGCCTATGCATTTGCCTTGTAGGCTCCCTGGACCACTTTAAAAATGGCTCAGATCTTCCCCAGGACATCCATTCATTTGCACTATGCAAGCAGCAAGACAATCTTGTGACATAGCCATCATGGCTAGTGTAATTAGTCTGTAGTTATAAAAAGAATGGCGGTAATGAATTGTTTAATTCTGGAGTGAGAGTAATCCATTTAAAGTTCTATTATTTCCCTGTAACACATCCTTTCAGAGAGGCGACGTTAGGCTTGCTTGTTGAGCACTGTAAGTGTATGTAGCATATAATGTGATGGACAAATCCTGCATGAACACATGAACACACAGAGGTAATAACAGTCACACAATCATGCACATACACACAAGATAGGAGCATCATAACTCCTTGTCCTGTTGGCCCTGTCACTCTGATTTCCCCCTCAGGCAGGGAGGTGAGCACAAGTAGAAAGGACTCTGGGTAGGAGTGCCTTAGGTCTTTTACCGAGGGGCCCATATATACTCTTCTGTCCGCTGGAGGGTGAAATGAGCCCAGGTAGAGCATACTGAGCAGTGGCTGGTGTAGCGAGACCAGATACTTCCACCTTTAGCCCTACTGCATGTTTTCCAGCTGATAAATTGCATATCTGTTCTGGGAGTGTGGAGCTGGGACGGTCTGTCGGTTTTTGGGTTGAGAGGCGCTCAGCTTGTGAGTGTGTAGGATGGTGTGATGCTTTGGGGGGTGTCGGCTTAAAATTCACTGACTCACTTGCAGCTGATGTTTGCTTGGTTGACCATGAGCGGCTCAAAATCAACAAGTCACTAGAAGTCAACACAGTAGCAAGAATGAAACATCCCCAACACGAACGTAAGCTTTTTAGTAACAGATATTGAGCATATATTGTGTCTGTCGCACAGCAGAGACAAGCATTGAATTGTGCATTTTGAATGGTAAATGTAATATGAACGTAAATATAGAAAATGTGGAGTCCTCATATTGAGGCTACTTTATACAACACAACAAACTGTAAAACCTAGCACTGTTTAATAACCCAATGCATCACCTCTCCCCAAGAGCAAAAACCAACTACTTTCATCAGATTGATTTAGATGCAAATAGTGTACTCACACATGGTGGAAAATGACACTTGTTTCCTATTTTCTTATTTTTTTCCCCCCTCTGTGCATTGCTTTGCAAATTAAGTGGAGTGTTTGTGACAGCTTGATGCTGGCGGAAGCAACAGCAAGCAGAGCTTTGGATTGCAAATGTTCCCTGAGGGGGCCGGTCCTGGTTTGATACACTTAATAAACTTCAAATCCGACAGGCTGGCAGAAGCAGTGCTGCTTGTTTCTCTTCCTACCCACAGTGAGATATGGGGCCCTGTGGAAATGGGAATGAGGAAAGTTTAGACAGTTTCTAGAAAGGATCGGCAAAGAAAGGTGTGTGAGTGTGGGTGTGTGTCTCTGCTCACGCTTGTGGCTGCTTGTTATGGAAGACAGCAATATACTGTAGAGTTAAGGGAGTGTGTACAGTATATGTGCAAGGCTGCCATAGTGTTTTTTATCAAAATTATCTACAAGAAATGGACACAATAAAGTGAAAACATTTGCTATAATACAACCTAATGCACTAGCCATGCAAAACTCCTTAGAGGGCAAATACCTGGACAGATCCCGATGGGTTTGAACAGAAATTTAGAAATTATGTTTGCGTCCGGTTCAGGTTCAGACATCTAGGTCAAACTTTAGGCTAGATGGCTGAAGCGTTTAAATGTCTGCTTTGTTTAATGATAAGGGGAAAAACACCATACAAACTCAACTGTGTCAGGCTCATGTCAGGTTTGTTCATTATTATTAGCTTGTTGGGTCCAGGTCTGGCTTGGTCGCCACACGGTTCAGGTTTGGACAGAAATATGCGGCCCATTCCACGCTCTGCTGTGCTTTCATGAAGCTTATATATTGTATATTATGTTTAATATTGTGACTTATTCCTCAAAATGTTTGATTTTGAGATGGTGTCATATTGTAGGCTATATGAGTAGCTATGTATTATATCCACTATGCTTGCTTAAACAAATGTTTTACATAGAGTATGTATGTATTTGAGGTAAACTGATACTGATTACTTGTAACTCGCTATACAAACTCTTTTATAGTATAATCTATGGCATATAAATATCATATTTATTAGTAAACCATTAATAAAATTTATTTTATTCAAAAACAAGTATACTTGCATTAGTTGCTGTTTACTTACAGTATATCTCAGTATAAAAATAAAAGCAAAGTCCTCTGGGTGTCGGGTCTGAAGCAGAGTCTCATCCACACCTTCCTCCACTTATAAGAGCTATCAGCATGGGACATTCCTTGAACAAGTAAAAACTTACCAACAGTAATGTGCTATAGCATAATCCTGTGACATCTCTTAGGAGTCCATTTTAATCCTCCCCAAGTAATTTAAAGTGAGAAATTGAATTAGAAGCCTTTCTTGTCCAATAACACAGATTTAGAACAAAGTATTTCATAGAGAATAAATACAGTAGTCTCCTCTATTCTGACATATCCTCAGGAGTTTAATCTCTCGCGTACATGCAGTGTCTGATGTCCAATTATCCAGAATGCACACAACTGAATATCCCATTTAAACCCCATTATCTAGACAAGGGAAATGCTCACAGCTACTCAGTGTTTCCTGTCAAAATGCCCATGATCTGCATTTGCAATGATGCCAGCTTCCTCAAGACTTAAGGAAAAGATAAGCTATGGTAAGAAGAGAAAAGAATGCTGGCAGTTATGTATTTGCATAAAAATTACCTATCAAAATAGACTGAATTTAGGATTCAAAGTTATTTATTTCATATTCCAGACAGCCCAAATTAAAGCCAGTGAACACAAATTATTTAAATGACAATGATAATAGATGCTGGGTTACCCTGAGTTAGCTTTATCCTTTAGCTAAGTTAGCTGCATGCTACCAGGGCTAGATTCAACCAGTGGGTTCTACTTAACCCCATCTTGTGACGTTCACATATTACACATATTTGGGTCACAGAGAACTTTCTGTAAACATGCAAGATTGAAACTTGCCAACTATTTTAACACTGTACTCTCATTTCATAACACTCACCAAAATTCTAAAGGTATTTCCTGAATCCTTATAGGCTCTTCTAACAATGCAGAATAAAAAATAATCTGACAGTATAATTATAATAATAATTTCACAGTTACAGTATGTCCATTTGTCTTGTATAAACAATGGTGGCAGGAAATCACTCACTGTGAAAACAGCTCGACTTTCACAAAGAGAGAGAGAGAGAGAGATGTCATTTCCTCTCGCCATCTTTCCTTTTCTGAAAAGCAAATTCTTTCACCCAAAAATCTGATAGGTAGCTTGAGACTCAAAACCCCCTACCAGTACCTATGAAAACACAATTTACAATTGTACAGTCACATTTAGCCAGTTAGTCCTGTCATAGCCCTCTCTCTTCATTAAAACACAATAGATTGTAGGTTAAATGGGCTAAACTCTGTTAGTTGAGTATGAGAGCAGCTCAAACTGGCAGTGACATTGATTAAAATTTGCTGCTATCTGTAGACCTACTGGCACACCACAGTGATGGGTCTGAAATGACAGATGTGACTCTTGGCTATCTGTAAGCTTTAGCTGAAATCACGTGTTGTACATGCTATGTAACAAAGAAGATTTACATCTGAGAAAGCACAAATGATGAATAATGACCTTTTAACATGCTGAAAGGCATCAACACCCCACACACAGTTTCACTCAGTCATTCCTTTGGGCTTCTCCGTGACTGTGGGGCCTTTGCTGTATATCAACCCACTTGTTCTTGCCCTGCCTATTCTTTCTTGTCAGTCTTTACTGTCATTTGTCAAATAATGCCAAAAATTGCCCCTGTAAATCTGCTCCATAATAACTCCTTTTCTTTGTCAGCTATGACAGACATCCCATGATTTTGCCATCCGTTAAGGCTAACAAGATGCTGACAGACTGCTCTTTCTTCATATAGCCTTACACTGTAAAAGCATGATGGCCATGACTGAGGATTACACTATCTACTTTATGATTAGAATCTTTGAAAACAGAATTTCAAACAAGCCTGTGACCTTTCTTCACAATGCCGCAGAGCCACTGCATTAAGAATGTGTCTGAAGCCTGGCTGATGTGAGCCTGGTAATTGTGAACCTCTCTCCCCCTTTTCTCCACTGGCTGTTGTGAACAGAACCGGCAAGCGTGCGCTGAGGTTGCGAGAAGCCCTACCATTCCCTCTAATAAGCCCCTGTGGGACCTGGATGAACACTGCTGAAAGTACAGGCAAGCCGTCTGCAAGTCAGAGTGCCAGATACTTTAGGTGGGAGCATTTAACAAGGCAAGTGTGAACATTCATGGTTATAAAATAATGACCTAATATCGCTCTTCGCTTTGTGGCAGGTTATTGCCAGACGCAGCAGGATTACACTAAGATGTCAGATTCAATAATGGCTCGGCACTCAGTGCAGCACAAAGTGTTTCTTGCACAAGAGATTTTGTATTGTGTGATGCCAAGTTATTGGTAAAGACCAATCCAGTACACAATTTCCTTAAGCTGTCACGGTTTGTCATGGTATGTCATTCACTTACCAGGGAACTTGACAGAGCTCTCAACCTTTTCATCATGTCTGTCTTTGGAGCAGTAAAGTGGTGCATATATCGTACATACTGTATATTGTAGACATTAGAGTAAATCATCATTTGACCAGAAGAAATATTGAGTTGTTGTTTTTTTTTCCTTTTAAATGAATTTTTCTAAAAATAAATTATGAATGTTACATGTCAACATCAAGCTCAAAGACAAAATAGTGTCATTTCACTGTAAGAGAACTGAGAGAAAGAGGATAAGAAAGATTTACAGAGGTGCCATGTTCCCTTTTACCTTTGCAACTTCCTGCCAACTTGATTTCTGCCACATGAGATTTTTATGTAACCCTGTCTGCTGATACACAAACCTCCATGGCAGCTTGTTGTGGTCTCCAGCCAAGGCACTCGATGAAGGTGAGCAGAATGTCATCAGGTGCTGAAGATGGCAGTGTGAGGATGTGGGTGTAATTAATTTCTGGGAGCCTTGGCCTCAGAGCTCCACAGCCATTTCTTTTCATTTTATATCAGGTTCAAGGATCTCCCCCCTCATAGCTTGTGGTTCTTCTGCAGGGGTCTCCAGCCTTATCTATAGCCCTGTCTTATCTCTAGCTTGTCCCTGCAACCTGACTGCAGGAAGATTACCTCTGCACCTCTTGTCAGCTCCTGATTTTTCCTTCAGTGAAGACAGAAAGGAGTCCAACATAAGCAAAGATTAGGCTGGTACTGTGGGTGTGTTAGCCATGTTTTTCTGGAGGTCTTCTGCAGCTGTGATGGTAGGGTAAAGGTCAAACCTGTTTTGTTTATTTTTTGTTTACCTTTCACTTTTACAGAGTAATTACACAGAGAAAAGGAGGAAGAAAGTTTACTTGGGAAGATACAATTTTTCTTTAATGACATCCAGAAGCCCCATATATCTCCTGCTGCTGAAGCTCAGACCATCACTAGTGTTTAAGGAATCTGATAAATACAAAAGGCAGGGCAATGTATTCTGACTAAAGATGACCAGTCGTACAGTTGATTTGGGTCTGACGCTTACGCTAAGCTGTCACAGGAAGCGTGCTAAAAGCAGGAAGTTGAAGCCTTTGATGATGAGACCTTCTGGGAGAGATCACAAACTCAGCCAATTAGCAGCTGAAAGGCCAGTGTTGAACTTTGACCCTGCCTGCTGTACTTGTATTCTGCAGAGAGCTCTCATTTTTTTCATTAAGTCCCGTGTGGTATATTCGCTGCTGTCTACAGTTTATAATTACACAAGCATCAGAGGCAGTTCAAGACCACAAATGGTCCAATTACAGTTTCACTTCAACATTTTGACATTTAGAAGGAAAAGAGAAGAAGAGAGTTCCACAGAGATTCTGTAGAGGGGAAGACAAAAATAAATTCTACGTTCTTAAAGCTAACAATCCAAAGGCCTCTTTGACCATATTAGAAAATTTTTACTCAACTTTCCATCTCAAAGTCAAAGTCAAAGTGTTTATTTGTCATATGCACAGTTAGGAAACGTGTTTCCCTGTACAATGTACTTTGCCGTCCACATGAATGCCACAAAATACAAATGAAATATAAAGTAGATAAATAAGTAACACTAAATCTAAGGCACTTTAAGCAGCAAATGCAGCAATATAATAAAAATATATAAGAATATAATAAGAGAATGTATGTTGCATGGGAGCAGCATGTGCAGCAGTCAACAGTCAATGTGCAATTATGCATGTGCAAACTGATAATGTTTACATCTGCACCTAAAATTACTGTTATATTGACATAGTGATTTTACTATTTAAATCTGGTGTGGGATTTTTTTTTATCACTGGGGAATAGTTTCACTCCAAAACAGTCAGCCCATGTTATAAAATCTTGACAGAATTTAGCTGGTGCTCTTAGTCAGCATTTTTGTGTCAGTTAAAAAAATTGAAAACCCATAGCAGTTTGCCTCCTCTTCTCAAAAAAAAAAAAAAAAAATTCAAAGCACAAAATGCACCATAAATAACTGCTGGTGTTTAGTAATGCAGAGGCAGATTCCAGTACATAAACCTAGCACATGAATTTTTAATTATCTCCATCCCCCAAAAAGCAGTTTGAGAATCAATTGAAGGGGCTGAGTTCTTTCTATGGGAAAACTGTATGCAACACAAGAATTGCAAAATTCATTTTTGTGACACTGCCTTTTTCCTTTTGTATTTCACTCTGAGACTCAGTAGTTCAACTAGACATAATACCTGTATCATGGGAATGTGTGTTAGTGACAGGTAAACACATTGACTTACATTCAACTTTAATGCAGTCATTGTTTTGGTCAGAAATCAATCTGCCATTAACTACTTGCTAAGCCTCACCTTAGCTATAGTAGCTATGCCTGTGGGCAGCATGCTGGTCACAGTGGTTAGCACCCTGCAGCAAGGAGGTTCTGGGTTCAAGCCTTGGCCAACCTGATGCCTTTCTGTGCAGAGTTTGCATGTTCTGCCTGTGTCTGGTGACTCTGAATTGCCCGTATGAGCAAGCGTGAGTGTGTGTGGTTGGTTGTCTACAGGTCAGCCCTGTGATAGACTGGCGACCTCTCTAGGGTGTATCCTGCCTCTCTCCTATTGTCAGTTGAGATTGGCTCCAGCCTCCTTGCGCCCCTCCTCAGACTACACAGTATAGATAATGGATGGGGGCAGACCTCATGGTTGTCTAGTAGAAAGAAATAAAACATTTTTGAGATCTGTTTTCTAATTTCCTTTCCTCTCTGGGTGATTTTTAAGCTAGCCTTTGTAGCATAAGCTAATGCTAGAGCAAAATCCTAATGAGTTGGCTGGAAGTTGTTTTGAGTTGACCTTTCAGTGTTTTGAGTGGACTCTTTATTAAATGAGAAGACAGTACAAGGGTGTGTGTGTGTGTGTGTGTATTGCTGACAGTGTTTAAACTGTCATAAAGGCCAGTACATAAAGACATCCTTCATTTCCTTGGTGAGTATATCTCTGTACATTTCTGTTTGGCAAAGGCTAGAAAAGAGAAGGAAACCCAACATCTCCCCTTGCTGTCACTGAGGGCCACCAAACAGCAAACGCAGATTTTCGCGTGCAGTCCTATTTTGACAGAGAGAAGCAAGAGACAACTTTGGGATGATTGACAAGCAGCAGCTGGGAAGGAGGATAACGCAGGTCTGAAATCCAGTGTCACAGGAACACAGGTGTCAGTCACAGTGGCTAATTAGAACAAAGCCAGCAGTATTAATGAGAAATGAGTGAATATGCTGCAGCTTTATTTAGCCAGAAAATAATTTGCACCATTGAGACCTAGGGACTCTTTTACAAAGGGGGTCCTGGCCAAGATAGGTGACAACAAAGTTACAGACAACAACTAATTACAAACATTAAACATAAGTTAATTAAAACATTAAACCTAATAAAATATATAAAACTGAATGAGCATTATAATAGTAGCTAAAACAAGAGCTTCTAAAAAAATTTTGTATAATTTTTACATTTTACAATAATACAATTTTGCATAATCAATTCTAGAGAAGGTCTAACAAAAATAAAACTGACTTTTACTACTCTTGATGTTTACAGAGTGCATAGTTGCCCAGCTATATAAGACCATATCATCTGCATAACAGATGGGTTAGTGAAATGTTATTTATTTATTTATTTACATTGCACCCATAATATTAGCACAATGTATGTAAAAACTACCCATGACACTGTTCAGAAAACGAGAGCTATCTAGATATTATCAGTAAGAGGATGTGACTCAAGTTTTACTTCCCCCTGCTGCAGCAAAGCCTGATGTGTCAGTGATTACTGTTGCATAAAAAATCCTCACACCTTCATTTTCACAAGAAATTGCTTTATATTTAAAGATTTCAGTTATGTGAAAACCCCTATTTAGTGGGAGTGCAGAAAACTTGAAACATCAATGAAAGAAGATTATCACATTTCAAATTTGACAAGACACATTTATTAGCAAATAGGTTCAAGATTTTATTTGCCATTTATGCATTAACAGACAGTCTAGGCATATAGGAATTCTTGTGTAGCTCTTCTTTGGAGTCAGGTAAGGAGTCAAAAGCCAGAAAGATCACTTGGTCGTAAAATAAAATAAATAGTTGCGTATTCGTTATTGCACATCCAGCAGAGATGAAAAATGTCCACCTCATTAATTTAATTCCAATATTAAATTCCAGTCATTTTTTTAGCTGTTCACCAGCTGCAGTACTTGCTAACTTTCTGCTATTTGGTACCGAGTAGCGTTTAGTGCAGATTTATCAAAGCCTTTTCCATGAAAACAGCTGAATGTTATGGCTGAAAACTATATTAATAAAACCCGTGAGAGCAAATCAAGACAGTAATGTTACAGCATATAAAATCAAAACCCCAAACTGAAAGAGGCTAAAAGGCTGCGTAGAGCTGAAGGGAACTGCAGAACCTGATGATGATGTTTCACCAAAGGTTTGTCACTGAAAGTAATATATGTAATCAATCAAAATTTTGTATTGTCCTTATACACCTGAGGGTCCACAGTGTAAAACGAGTCCTGTTTTAAATGAACATGCACATTTGATGACAGCACTTGGCAACAAATTGGCTACTAGCTGATTAAAAAGGTGGGGGTCACCCCCATTTTCAGAGTTTTTATTTTGACATTTGAATAGTTCAAGTGCATTGAATAACCTTAGATTTACAAAAGTAAGAAGTAATCTGCCAGAGGTAAAACAAAAAATGTCATCAAAAACTACAAATTTGATATAAAACAGGCCTTTTTTTAGGGATTAAGAAATAGGTTAATGTCCATCTTTTCTACACAGCATTTTGAGTAACTGTGTTTTTACACCCTCTGAAGCAATATTTGGTAAAAGGTCATTAACACAAGAAGTCAGACCTTTCAAGGGTTTTATCATAGAGCAGGATAGTGAGCCAAACAAAAACCTCTGGGCTCTACAGAAATAAAGAACAAGGCAGTAAACTTCAACTGATGGACCAGCAGCACAGTGTCCAGACTTTCAATCAATGTCATTGATTCATAGCAACACAATTTAGCTCACTCCCATTATCTGAGATATGTACAGATTATAAATTATTTTATTATAATTTATTACAGCTCTGTCATAATTTATTATATAATTGATTGTATAAT